ATGCAGGGTCTCACTGTATGTAGCACTGGCCATTCTGGAACTCACTATGTCAGAGCTCACAGAGATCCATCCTCTTGTCTCTGCCTCCCAACTGGAATTAAAGGCCTGCACCACCATGCCCAGCAACACTGGAGTTCTCTTGGCAAGTCTGCCAGAACGCCATGGTGAATAATGCCTTAAGTTAGTTACAGCACATCACTCCCTCTTTACTCAGGGAAATCAGCTGATATCCTGGAGGCCTTAGGAAGCTAGCTCAAGAATAAGCAGATCCCATACTTATGCATATTCCTAAGGTTTATTGGAAATCAGGCCTCTGGCTCACAACCATGTTCCTCCCAGAATCAGGCCCCAAGTGTGCTGTTCCTTGCATTGTGGTTTAGGTGAGCTCTCACACATGCATGACTAGAGAAGGGATAGCACCTAAGCTCTGCCCCATTCGTGAACGCACAGCTGGTCCACTTCAAGAGAAAGGAAAGCTTATCCCTAAGAGAGAGGCTCCGGAAGCAGTCCCTGGAACAGAAGCCCTGCCTTGCCATGCGTCAGTCCCACTGTCACTCCCACTGCAGGCGCTGTGTGTGGAGAGCCCGGCAATAGGCCCAACTGCCTGCAACTAGGGCCCAACGACAGACGTCCTCCTTGGGCAGCAGTAGCAGCCTGTCCTCTTCCAGCCGGCTTAAGAGACCTGCCACACCCAGCATGGCACCCCCCCACATGCCGTAAGTGTTGGCTGTGAAAACAGCTACAATAAGGATGGTCACCGCAACCACCAGCAGTACTGCCTGTCCGGCTACAGAGCAGCCTTCAGGGCCAAGGCGGTCGCCAGCTACTGCCAGCACCATGCCTCCTCCGAGAAGCAGGTTGGCAGAGGAGTGGTCCCCATTCACCCAGTGAAAATCGAACGCCAGAAGAGGCAGACCTATGACTGTGGCAACCCAAGCTCCAGCAAGACAGTCTTCCTGTGTGTTCAGCCCTGGGGCCAGCATAGCGATGGCAGCAAAGGTCTGGAGAAGAAAGCCAGCAGCAGCTCCTCGACTGGACTGTTGACACAGGGAAAGATAGATAAGTTACGGGGGAAAAAGAGAAAGGAGTCACACTTTTAAATAAGAGTTTGTCCCCCCTCTCCCCCCATCAAGGAGACCCAGCCTCATCCATGCCCCACCCCTCTTTCTAGTGCAGGAATCTACATAGTTGTGAGAGTAAAAATATTCACCTGTACAGAGCTCACCGCCGCATGCAGAGACACCCCTGCCAGCACCAGGTGGGACAGGACAGTGCTCCATTCACTCCTGGGTTTGAAGACCATGACACCTTGAGGAGTAGTGAGTTTGAGGAGATGGGAAAGGAATCTTTAGATTTGCAGAGAAGAATGCACAGAGGCTGGTGATTTGGAGTCCTTTAGTGAAGCTCTTCGGAAATCTCAAGTTCCAGACACCTTTGAGTAGACATTCAGAAGAGACTCAGTCCCAATCTTTTGGAAGCCCTGAGGTCACTGGACTCACCTACAGGAGTGACTTGGTGGGGAAGGAGAATGGGATTGGAATCTTGGCGCCCAAACAGGGTGTCAGGCCAGGGACTCGGAACGGCAAGACGCGCAGTCCCTTGCTGTGGCCTGGGCCCGAGTCCTAGCACCTGGAGATACAGGGTCTTCCACGCCGGCGGGGAAGGCACCGCTGCGCAGGTGGCCTGCGACAGACAGCGCGCAGCACCTGGAGACGCGGAGCTGAAGGCCCGAACCTGCCTCCAACAGCCAGCCCCGCCTCCTAGCCCGCCCTCCCGGGGAGCCGACCCGGGGCCGTCCGCTTACCTTCACCAACGAGAGGAGCTCCGGCTAGAGCGGCGGGGCGGGGCCTGCGGAGGGCCGAGGGAGGCTCTAGAGAGGGGTGGGGCTGGAAGGGTGGAGGTCAGAACCAGAAGATGTTCAGTACCGGTTTGTGGTTTAGATAGGGTCTCTCTCTGTAGCCCTAGCTGTCCTGGAGCTCGCTGTATAGACCAGGCTGGCCTCGAATTCGCAGAGACCCGCTTGCCTGTCTCCCGAGTGTTGGGATTAAAGGTATGAGTTACTAGGCTTTCAGTACAGGTTGGCTCCTGCCCCGGGATCGCGCAGGGTCCAGGGTCTGAGGCGGAGACGTAGGCGGGGCTCTCGAAGGGTAGGCTCTGAGAGAGGAGGGGTGGCGCTTCAAGGGGGGTCTAGGCGGAGCTGGGAGTCCAGGCGGGGTGGGGCTTCGGAAGAGTGCTGCCTGGCTGTGGGAGGGGCGAGGTGACCGAAGGGGAGGTCTGGGCGGGACTGGGTCGCGCTGCCGGGGAGGGGTGGGGTCTGGGCTGGGCTACGGGAGGTGGGGGCGGAGAGGAGTACACCTGTGCGCCGGTGGCTCGGTCGGTGCGCGCCTACCTCGGTGGGCTCTCCACGGGATTCCCAAGAGAAGCTAGAAAGCCGTTGGAGCTCTTTGCGCCCACTCTTTGCCAAACGGGGGACTAAAAACGTTTGACAGAGCCTTAAAGGACAGGTTGTGCAGCTCCCCACGGTCGCCCCTCCGTGCGCGCCCTCCGCCCGCGGAAGATCGTCCGTGGGGGCGGCCGCCGCGAGCATGCGCATGGGCACTGCGGCGGGCGGGTGCGGAGTCCTGGTGCGGGGACGCGGGGCGGCGCGAAGAGGTGCTCTCTGCCGCCCCGCGCCCCCATGTATGCCTTTTACTCCCTGCTCATCTACATCTTCTACAGCCTTTTCCGCAGGGATGGAGGGGCTGCTGCGGCTGCGGACGCCGGGGACCCCTCCCAGGTGAGCGAAGTGGGCCTGCAGCACGGTCGGTTACCACCGTCATTCTGAGATCGGGTCGTGGCCGAACTGTGCAGCTTTATGTCCTTAGGCACTGGCTCTGGGGAATAGAGCTGTTCTGAGACCAGTTTTGTCCGTTTAGGTGTTGGGGTCATAGACCTCAGCTCCAACCCCTTGGCCCATTTCAGAAGGATGGCCATATGCTGCCAGCACACTCACAGGCGCCCTATGCTCTCTTCGCAGGGAAGCGGCGGCAAACCTAGGGGTCGTCGCCGCCCCGATCAGTTTACATCAGAACTGTGGACCGAGCTGAACAGCCTGGCAGGTAGGTACATGCCAGGAGCTGCTGGGGAAGGGTCTAGGGGAAACCCTGCAGTTGGAGTACTGTGACCTCCCTGGGAGGGAGAAAGGCTTCCTTTCCATCCAGCGGTACGGAATGCTTCTTCCTTCCACTACTTGGCCTCAAAGGCTGCTCAGAATCTGAGGATGGTACGAAAGGAGCCGAGGGCGGAGCAGCCGAGGTGTCCCTGGAAGAGGCACTCATGCGCCTTGCTGAGTTCCTCTCCCTCCAGCTGGGGGCAGAAGAGAGCTGCGGGACTCCTCCCGACCTGGGCAAGGTGAGCATCGCAGTCTCCAGCAATTACTCCTTTCCCTGGCCGCTGTGCTCTTCACATTCCCAATTCCTCTACTTTGATTATTACTTCCTTCACAGCCTGGTGAGGTTCCCCCATTGTTGACAGTAACAAGTCAGCTCTTGGCCCTTCTGGCATGGACACGGAGCCCCAGGGGGAGGCAGGCCCTGCTCCAGGGGACTCAGCCAGCCTGCCCAGTGCAGCCTTCCACTCTAGATGGTTTGTAAAGAGTATCATTGTTTATGGAAGGAGCATGATCTATTAGAATTGGTTCTGCTCCCTAGGCCAGACCTTTCCTTTCTTGTAACTAGCTTCACCCCTCTCCAGGCTCTCTGTCACATGAAGAAAGCTCCTCTCAACCCACTCCCATCGTGGATGAGGTACCAAGGGATGAGACCCAGGAACATCAGCCTCCCCAGTTGGAGGAGGAGCAGAGAGCTTGGCAGCGGTTGGAAGAGCTTATTCTTGGACAGGTAAGGGAATCAGGAGCAGCAGGGACTGTAAGATCTCACACTCACAGGTAGGTGTGAGATCCAAAGAGGAATTCCATCCTGTCCCCGACTGCCCCACAGCTGGAAGAGCTGAGACAGCAGCTGGAGCAGCAGGAAGAGGAGCTGAGTAGACTTCGTCTCGGAGTGGTGAGGCTATTGGGGTGGGCGTAGGAAACAGGCTGGAATGTCAAGGGAATTTCAGGTGGGTCCTGATGATGGCCCTCTCTGTCAGGGGGTGACAGATTCAGAGAAAAGGGTTCAGCACCTCACACTGGAGAATGAAGCCTTGAAACAGAGCTTGAGCCTTACCCGGGACCTCCTGCTGCACTGGGGCCCTGGGCCCCTCACCAGAGCTCCACAGGTACTCTGCTGTTTGCCTGTAGGTGTATCTGCAGTCCAGGCTCCCGTACACCTGGTGTCCAGCAACTGTACCGAAACCTCCTCAGGACTTTGTGTTTGCTTTAGTAGGGGTCCATCTCTAACCATGGACAGACTCTGGGATGGTCTTTGCAAGGTAGCCCCATCAGTGAGGCTGATGCTCACTGAACACACTCCCACCCCATTCTTGGTCTCTCTGGGTGACCTCAGGAGAGCAGAGAGTCTGGGACAAGGAGCCATGGAGTTGGGTGGCATGGGTTCAGCCATTCTTGCCACTTTGATTTGGCCTTGAGTTTGTGAGTGAAATGGAACCACAGGATACCCTTTCCTGAGTATCCATTTAGCTCTATGGCCCACCTGGCTCCCACTCTCCTACAGGAGGAAGCAGGGGCACTGTTGGAGCTGCAGGGCCAGCTTCAAGAGGCCCAGGACACCACAGAAGCTCTGCGAGTCCAGGTGGGCAAGGGGACCCAGGAATAAGGAGGGATGGGAAGCTGGGAGGTGAAGTCTGGGGCAGGGCCTGGTGCCTGCTTTCGTCAGTGACAGAAGTGGGGGTTGGGAAGGACAGCTGGGGGTCCAGGAGATGCAGCTGCAGGGCCTTCGAGGGGCTCTCCAGAAGCTCCAGCAGGAGACAGAACAGAACTGCAGACAGGAGCTGCAGCAAGTTCATGGACAGCTGGCAGGTAAGGGCTAGGAGAAAGTGGTTTCTGGGAAAGCTCTGGAATCTGCTCTTTTCTTCTCAATGGCCTTCTTTCTCTAGGACTTCGGGCACGGATGGCCAGCCTGCGTCAGGGCTGTGGAGACCTTCGAGGACTGGTCAGCACCTTTACTCAGAGTTGTCAGGGCTCGCTGAGTGAGGCCCAGGGACAGGTCAGGATCCCAGGGGAGCCTCCTCTGTGGTTAATGTTTTCCCTTCCCATCCCTCAGGAGATGCCTGTACTAGTGGGTCAGTAGTTGAATAATTTCTGAGTGACTCAGAGTATCCTCGGTTTGTTTGTTTGTTTATTGGTAGTAGGCATTGAGACAGGGTTTCTGTATACTCCTGGCTGTCCAGGAACTCACTTTGTAGACCAGGCTGGCTTCCAACTCAGAGATCCACCACTACCTGGCTGTGTCCTCATTTGTGTACTGTGAAAACTGACAATTGCTGAGAAGCCTAGAAGGATGGAAGACAGAATGAATATTCTTGCCTATGATTCCTAGATTCTTTTCAGACCCACTGGATGGTGCCCTCAGGGGTCTATACCCACTGAACGCTGTATGCCACTACAACTTCTTGTATTGTTCTCTGCACCCCACTTCACTAGGAGTTGCCTTTGTTTTCCTCACAGGTATCCTGGGCCCTTGGGGCTCTGTCAGCTGGAGGGGCTAAGACTCAGCCCCCGGAAGGGCAGCAGGAACCCCCAGCTGGATGCTCAGGGCGGCTTTTGGAACTCAAGGGTGAGATTGGCTTTGGGAATGGAGCAGCACTGACTATAGGATGGAAGAAGAACTCTCTTGTTTTAAGGCTAAGGAGGCAATCTGCTGTTGTGGTCCCCAATGCAGGGAATATTCGTGTTCTGTGCCGGCTGAGACCAGCTGAAGGGATACCTTCTAGCCTGGTGAGCGTGGAGCCTGGACAAGGCGGGACCATCACCACCTGCTACCGAGGGCGCCAGCATCGCTTTCGCCTGGACTGGGTCTTTCCTCCAGATGCCAGCCAGGAGGAGGTGACAGTCACCTTTGCATCTGTCCTGACCCTTCCTCAGAGTCCCTTGAGTCCAGAAGTGGCCCATTCCCTCTTCCTTGCCTGTCCGAATACCTAGAAGGTGGGAGGCTGGGCTCCATCAGGGAAGGGAGCCAATTGAAAGTCCTTGGATGCAGGATTGGCTGCACTGCTGAGTGCTAAGGAAAACGAACCTGTCCATGGTGAGTCCCTGCTTGCGTAGAACTGGCTGCAGAGCGTGGATGGGTGCCACAATGGTGAAGGCAGGGCTGTGATCCTATGGGTGATAGCTTGGAGCCTCACCCTCCTTACGATCTAGGCTCTACCCATCTGTGAAGGCAGAGCCTCTACTTGCTTTGTGACCCCAAGGCAGGTCAGGTGGGAGGATAGGTGTCAAGTGAGCAGGGCAACCCCAGTGCGCCCCCATTGCCCTGCCACGATCCTCCTCTTCCCTCTTTTTTGGCCAGACACCAGTGGAAATGCAGCTTATCCCAACTTGCTTCACACACGGCCTCCATTTGCACATAAACTGTGCTGCTGGAGCTTCTGTGACTGAAATGGAGGCTCAGAGCTGAGAAGGGATTAGGTAAGGGACAGAGCTGCCAATGAAGACCCAGGCTACCTGCTGGTCTCACAGAGACGGTATAACGTAGTGTCTAGCAGGGACAGACTCACCCCTGACTGACTTTCCACCTGCCTCTGTCTGTCCTATACGTTCCCCTGGCATCATCTCCCACCCCCACACTGCAGCCATGCCCAGCTCCCTACAGTTGTGTACAGAACTCTGGGCAGCCTGGACTGGGTCATCAGCCTAACACACTGGACCAAATGCATCTCACCTGTAGCCCCCATTTTTGTACCACTCAATCCTGAACTTTTCATCCTCAAAAGTTCATCCTCATGCTGGTAATTCTAGACATTGTTTATATGGTCATCAATCAGAAGCGACAGCCACGCCATCTCTAAGGACCTTCTGGTATACAAGTTGGCCATGCAGTTACTCAAAAGGCTATTGCTGTGTCTACTTCTGTCCAACAGGTTGAATGGTTCAACCCCATGTCTCCCTCAGCTACTCCGAGGAGCCTGGTTTCTATAGCCTAGGCACTATCTGTTATACCCACAGAGGCCCTCCTGGCTTTTTTTTTGGGGGGGGGGGGAGTGTTAAAATTTTTAATTAACTAATTAATTAAAAATTTAAGATAGAGTCTCACTGTGTATCTGTCACTGGCCTGGAACTAGCTATGTAGACAGGCTGGCCTAGAGCTCAGAGATCCGCCTGCCTCTGCTTCTTGAGAATTGGGATTGAAGGCACGTGCCACCATTTTCCATTTAGATTTATTATTTTCTTGTCAAGTACTGCGGAGGTTCTCCAGCACACATTTCCATTAGTTGCCACAGGAGGAAATGACCCAGCAGAACATAGAAAGGATGGTCGGTACTTGGCTTCTCGTCACTTCAGGTTTTAACCTGGAAGTCTAGCCCTGGTGTCTAAGCTCTTGACCACCCTTCCCCTAACTCCCCCTACCCCAGAACCTCCTAGCTGGTGTTTGGGACTCTACATTCTCTGCCAGGCTGCTGTTTTCTGTTATGCCCCCCCCCCCCCCATTCTTAAGGCACCTGCTATGTGAAGGGAGGGGAGCTCTTCCCGGAGGAGTTACACTTTGCTCAGTTTGCTGACTGCACTTCCTACCCTCCCAGGTCTTGAACCGGGAATAGGGAAGGACTGAGGACGCTTCTCCCGCCTGTGTTTTGTCCCCAGGTCTTCCGGCAGCTAGAGCCTGCTGTGTTGTCCTGCCTCCAGGGGTACAGTGTTTGCATCTTCACGTATGGTCAGACCGGGACTGGGAAAACCTACAGCATGGAGGTAGGTGGGAGCTTACACTTGGGGGAGGGGGGTGGGGAGACTCGGGGGTCTGTATGAGAGTCCAATGTGGCACTGCACACTGTCCTCAGGGCCCACCCGAGGACCCTGGCATAGCTCCTAGGGCACTGCAGTTGCTGTTCCGGGAGATGGGGACTGGAGGGCACCACCATGTGACCCTCAGCATGGTGGAGATCTACAACGAGGCAGTCAGGTCAGGGATGCGTGGGCGGCTTTCTCCCTGCCCCCAGCCCAGGCTTCTGTAGCCATTTCTAGAATCCATAGAATCAATCCCACCCTTTCTCAACAGGGACCTTCTAGCCACGGGGCCTCCGGAGCGCCTGGTAGTGAGGCAGGGACCAGCAGGGCAAGGGGGAATTCAAGTGGCTGGCCTCACACACTGGGACGTTCCTAACCTGGAAACCCTGCACCAGGTAAGGCCGCCCTCCTGGGCCCCTGTCTGTTCCCACCTCTGGGTAGGGACTATGCATATGCCAGATTAGTCCTGATGGTCTGCTCTTCAGATGCTGAGTCTGGGGAGGAGCAACAGAGCCACAGCAGCCACTGTCATGAACCAGCACAGCTCACGCTCCCACGCCCTAGTTACGCTGACTTTACGCGCCGCCTCTCCGCCTCGAGCCCAGGGTACCACAGGTACTGTGCACTGATGGTACTTAGTCCTGCTGGGTTTCCGGCTCACTGGAGATCTCCCTCCACATCGGGTTCATTTGCACCTGCAGGCACGCTGCACCTAGTGGACCTGGCAGGATCCGAGCGCGTGTGGAAAGCAGGGGTCGCCAGCACCCCGCAGAGAGACCCGAATGGCGCCCGGCGTCTGCGGGAGGCCCAGGCCATCAACCGCTCCTTGCTAGCGCTGGGAGGAGTGATGGCTGCGCTCCGAGCTCGGAGACCCCACGTGCCCTTCCGCGACTCACAGCTTACACGCCTGCTCCAGCCGGCGCTCGGTGCCGGCACCACTGCGGTTCTGCTGTTGCAGGTGGGTCCCTGGGCTGGTATAAGCCTGAGGCGCTGCCCACCTGGGCTGTGTATGAGTGCACCTCTCTTGTAGATCTCCACGAGGACGGAAGATCTCGGAGAGACCATCTGCTCGCTCAAGTTTGCCGAGCGAGTGGGTCAAGTGGAGCTGGGGCCAGCACGGCGCCGTAAGGCCCCTCGCTCTGGAACCCCCTCTTCTCTCAGTACGGACACCCCACTCACTGGAACTTCCTGCACCCCTACGCCGTCTCCCGGCAGCCCTCCGAGTCCCAGCCCCAACAGCTATTCTGGCTTGACTCTCGGGGCCCTGCCTCCCTAGATCTGGGTCAAAGCCCTTCAGACTGGGCTTGGGAACACAACCTCTGCTGGCAGAGGCAGCAGGGAAGTTCCTATTCCCCACCTCATAGGTCAACCTTAAGGAAGAAAAACTCTGGGCCCTCACTGCCCTCTCAGAGTCCCACAGCTTCCCCTTCCTGATCTGGCCAGGGCATGTTATGCTTGGAGAAAGGATTGCCTCCACCCTTCCACCCCCAGCTGGGCCACAGGCCCTTCGCTCTCCCCTTATCACCATTTGCCCTTATCACAGCACACAGCGGGGATGCAGAGCTACAGGAACCAGACCCCAGACCAAGTGGTTTCCCAAGTCACCACCCTGCCCCCAATATCAGACTCAGAATCAAAATGTTGTACATTTCTTTACTGTTAATCTCTCCCCTACTTCCATCATACCCAAATTATGTAGGGGTCCTGTCTTTCACTTCTTAACCCCTTCCCCAAAAGGTGCTACCTCCAACCCAGGGAGTTGTGGGAGGGCAAGACTTCACACTGGACCCACTTTTGGCTCTCCCTCCCCCAGCCTGGAGCCAGGAAGGTGTGGTGACAGAGGGATGGATAGATGAGGGCCTGACAAGGTGGGATCAAGGGAAGAAGCACTGCCCTAGGCTGCGCCCTGCTTCTGCAGACCCGTGTGTGTGGGAGAGTCAAAGGCATGGTTGGCCAGACCTGTCATACCTAGCAGAGGCAACCCCCTTTTTGGAGTAACCCAATTAAAGCTGTGGGTTTTCAGCAAGGCTGTGCCTGGTGTTTTAAAGCTGTTGCTGTCGACACGCTCCTAGCTCTGGTTCTTTATCAAAATGATATTCATGGGTGGAAGAAAGAAGCAGCCCCTGTCTGCCCTGAAATATCAAAGGCTGTACCAGGAAAGGAGCCAGGCTGGGGCAGGCGCAGCCAGGTCCCAAGGGTGGCTGACCCACACGTCATAGATGCTCTTGTTGGGTGGTGCTCCCTGAAAGTGGGAATCTAGATCACAGAGGAGGTCCCGGGACCCTTGAGATTCAGTTCCTACGCTCCAGTAGGCTGGGCTGGTTGAAGATGGGCACTGGGGACAAGAGGTGGGAGGTAGTGTGGCCAAGGGCATTACTACATTGGGAGTGTAGATGGGCAAATAAGAGGTGGGTAGCTGTCCCCACAAGGAAGCTCTGCTCCCCCTCCTGGACATTCCCGTGGGATCTGGGGAACCCTGAAGTAAGTGGAGGGGCCAGGTGCTTTGCTCTGTGGAAAGGGGAGAAGGCCTGATGACTTCCCCTTGGGAACTCTCCCCTTCTACTCCTGTGGGCCCTGGAAGGGAACAGAGGGGCCACAGAGGCTTCTCAGAGGAGTTAGAGGGCACAGTGCACACCCCTTCTTCCCTCGTAGACCAGGTGCCTGCTTGCGCTGGGCTGCTCTGTCCAGCTAGCCCAGGCTGCTGGGCCCACGTTGATTCTTTCCCAGGGTCCCCTAGCAGTGACTTGATGGTGAAACCCTCCCTGGACTGAGGAGGGGGACTGGGTGGCCGATAAGGCTGGCCGTGGAGCACGTAGGGGCTCAGGTCCTTGGCGAAAGCTCTGTGTGCACCCCGGTTCTGCCATCGCCGGCACAAGGCAGTGTTCTGAAGGCGCAGCGCCTCTGCTGGGATCAGGCTCACGTCCACCGCCCAGAAGTTGCCCTTGGCCTGGGGCTTTGAAGGGTCCTTGGGCACCTGGAGAGTGGTCGGCTTGGGTGTGGCTGTCCCACCCAGAGGTTAGGGGGGGGTTTCCGCGCCCATACCTCCCTCCCCGCCTCCCGGGTTCGACCATCGACCACCCCACCTTATGGAAGCACCGGTTAGAGGAAAGGTTGTGGCGGATGGAGTCCTTCCAGCCCTCATAGTCGTCCTTGAAGAAGGGGAACATTGCCTGGACCTGACGGATAATCTGAAACCAGGCAGTGTTTGGCACATGAGACGGGGCTAGGAGCAATACCCTCTACCTCCCCAACAGCTGGCCCCAGGGCACCCCTTCTCAGGGCGACAGATTCCTGGGCTTGAAAGGCAGAGTGGGTGGGGGTTATGGAAGAAGGGCCTTAGGACCGGTCTCACTGGCAAGGATCAGTGGACTAGGTAGAGGTCAAGCCTGGGCTTATAGTAAGCGGGGAACAGGCCTGGGATAGTAATGACCCACAAGTATGAGGGAGCCTCTCACCTGGGCCAGCTTCAACCTCCGGAAGGGTGCAGCCTGAATTACCAAGGCGATCATGGCCAGGTAGGTGTAAGGGGGCTTGTCATGCCGTAGGTATCGCTTCTTCCTCCTCTTGGGGGTCTTTGAAGGAGACTCTGCCTCTGGAGGCCTCAGATGAGAGTTGTTGCAAGGCCCCATGCAAGGAAGGCAGCCCTGGGCTGGGGCCTGGCCTAACCGAGGACTCAGGGTAGACGGACCGTGTGTTGAGGCTGGGTCCCAGCCTGAGGCCATGCTGGGATCGGCAGGCCAGGCCCTTTCTTTATCATTCTGATGAAAGGGGGAGGGGTGAGAGGAAGAGGCTGTGGGGGAGGGGAACATGTGAGGGTTGCCACAATTAGCAAGTTTCAGTTAATCTTGGAGGGGAGGGCAGTGAAGATTCCAGTGGGGACTTTTGGTGGCCTCCTGAAATCAGTCTCCACACCCAGGTTGCCTCTGGGTGCCCGGCCATTCCCTATAGCCTGGAAGGAAAAGCTCTTAAAAGAGGTCTACCCCAGGATACCTTATCTGCCTGGGTCAGGTCCCTAGCTCCCATTTAACAGATGGAAAGTAACTTCTTCAGTCAAACTACCCTGGGAGGGATGGGGAACTCCCAGGAGTTCAAGACAAAGCAGTCAAAAGAAGTCATGCCCTAGAGTGGGGATCTGCAACCCCGACTTGATGGGTGGGGGGTGGCGCGCAGGATGCAACAAACAGACTGACGACCTCCTGGGCCAAAAAGGCAGAGACTGTCCCCAGAAGCAAGAGGACACAGAGACTTAAGTGATTTTTCCAGGAGTATGCTACAGGAGCCATATGGGCACCTACGTCTTCCTTGGCCATCTAATTGGTGGCTCTACCCTTGGGCTCAGTCAGCACCTAAGCTCCAAACTTCATCCAAGTTCTCCTGGCTACTACAGTGGGCAGGTTTGCAACGAGGGTCTGAATCAGGGCACTGATGCAGAGGTTGGTGTCAGAGCCCAGACAGACATCAGCCCTAAACACTTCGAGAATTCATCTTCTCCTCTGCAGCAACTCCCCGTCATACCATCGAAGGTACAAGCATGAGGCAGGAGGGAGTGGAGACAAACATGGAGGATGAACACCATGGGACTTCACTTCTCCTGGCTTTCCTAGCCCTGGCTGGGTTGTGATCTTATCTTCGACTCTTCTTTCAGTCCTCATCTATCTTCCTCTGGAATCCTATCACCTCCTGCCCCTCTGCTTTCCTTTCTCAGGGCTCTAGCTGAGGGTTTCTGTGTCTCATCAGGCAAATACCCCTGACCTCAGCCCTATTCAGCAAGAAAGTCATTCTCTTCTACAAGCCTGAGGTCTTCATTTTCCACTGGTCCTTCCTTGCTTAGAAGCCTGGATCTTCGGTCTGACATTCAAGACTCCTGATCGCTTCTCCCTGACCATAGTGTCCTAGGACCTACCATGACCCAAACTGCTGCCCACCCTCTGGTACATGCTGTTCCCTCAAGGCTCCTATTCTTCTATCAAAGACTAAGATAAATAGAGATTACGCTTCCCGGAACACCCGAACACTTGCTCTTCCCGCCCCACCCTGAACGCCTAGACGTTTCGTGCCACAGAATAGAAAACGAAAACCCTGTCACACATCAACCAATCTACCGGGGCTGACCCCGCCCCTGGAGGGCGCTCCTTAGGCCCCGCCCATGCAGAATGCCTCAACCCAGAACTCCCACCCAGCACCGCGGCTTCCGCCTAGGACAGCTTGGGCCGGAAGTGTCGCGTTGCCATGGCGAGGATGGGCGCGGGGCCCGCCCCCGTGGCGCCTGGAGCAGCGCCGGGGCCCAGGGTCGGCCGGTCCGGGTCCAGGGAGTGGCTACTAGGGCTCCAGGTGAGACGGCCTGCGGTTGTGAGTAAGGGTCCGGCCTGTATGGGAACGTAGGCCAGGCCCGGCGCGGCGGGGCGGGGCATGGCGGCTGAGCCGGCCCTGGTGCTTCTGCGGCCCGGTGCTGGCTCGGCGGGGCAGGGAAAGGGGTCGTGAGGGGCCTGCGGAAAGGGCGCCAGCGAGGCGGCCAGCGGAAGGTTTTTGGTTTTGTTTTGTTTTTGTGGAACCTAACAGTGAAGGTAGTTCTTGCAACCTGTTGGTCAGGTAAATCGACCGACAGTCTTCATTCTGACATGATGAAGACAACGAAGGAACTTTCCTATGCTTCATGTGGGCTTTGGAGTTAAGTAAAAGCACACGCTTGAGCTTCTTACGGCTCAAGTGCCTCATGGATTGTGATTAGGGGAGGAATGTAGATCAGTCTGTGAAAAATATTTGGGTTCCTGGCTGAACCAGTGCTGGAGGCTTGAGGCAAGGAGGATAATACGGGTGCAGAAGAGAGAGAGAGGTGCGTATTGGCTTGCTCCGAACAGAGCAAAGCTGGCTGACCCCCAAACGCTCCCCCTTCCTTTCTTCCATGTCCTTACTTGTGACACAGACCTCAGTGAACCCTCTAGGTGTCTTTGCTCCCCAGGTATTCCCTTATAGGATTGGGGTTTGTCTTCCTTCAAGCACCCTGGTTCTCTTAAAAGGGCTGCCTGATTCACTTCAGGGAACCAGAGCCGCTACTAGCCCAGCATAGGAGCTGATTTGGTTGAAGGACTGTTGGCTTAGTGAGATCTGCCCTACTGATCTTCATATTGTCATGGTGATGGGATTTTCAGAGCTCAGAAGGGCTGCCCCTTTTGCCCAAGAAGCCCCCCCCCTTTTTTTTTTTTGAGACTTCCTTCTTCTGAGGCCAGGATTGGGTTTCTTCCCTATTAGCTGGGCCCTTCCTAGTCTTTCTCCTTCTTTCCTTCCTTCTTCTTCTTCTTCTTTTTTTTTTTTAAAGAAATAATGTTTTAAAGTATTATTTATTTATTATCTTCTGGGGTAGATGCATGCCATGGTGCACATGTAGAGGTTAGAGTCCGTTCTCTCTCTCTCTCTCTCTCTCTCTCTCTCTGATACAAGGTCTCTCTCCATAGCCCTGGCTGTTCTGGAATTCACTGTATAGGCCGGTCTCAACTTACGGAGAGCTCCACCTGCTTCTGCCTCCCAAGTGCTGGGATTAAAGATACGTGCCAGCCAAGCCCGGCTCATTCTCTCTCTCCACCTTGAATGTAGGGAAGTTCCTGGGGGTTGAACTCAGGCTTGCAGGGCAAATGCCTTTACCTGCTGAACTCTCTCTCCAGCCCAGTTTTCACTTTTTTAGACAGGGTTTCAGTATAACCCAGACTGGCTTGGGATTTATACCTCCCTGCCCCAGAGTGCAGGGCTGATGGATACAGGCCTGTACCACTGCCCCTCTTGTTTCTTGCTTGACCCCTCCTGCCTCTTCATCACCAGCCTCTTCATTATCATCATCACCAGTAGGGTATAATTGTACTCTGCTGTGGGCTAGCAGGCATCTTGCAGCAGGACTTACTCTGTTTTGAACTATGTCTGCAGGTTCTTGAGTCTATGGCCTGTTTCACCAGGTGGTTACTGTGACGCCCTCCGTATAGGCAGCTGAAGTTTGTCAGTCCCAGATAACCAACCAGGCTCCCAGTCCTAAGGTTCTACGCTCTCTGTCCCAGCTGTGTCCCACTCCAGTGCTGATTCTACATCCACCCACCGGTCAAAACCTGTGGCAGCCACAGGTTCTTTCCTCCCTCTAGACTCTCTGGGAACTTCCTTTTGTTAGTACATCGAACAATAGCATATACACCAGAGTAAGACCTGTGCATGTCCTGTCCGTGAGTCCCCTTCGGTGCTGTATTCAAGGGGCTGCCATATTACTGTTCATCTGTTCATCGTTTACTGAGTAATTCCTATGAGTCAGGCACTGGCCTAAGCTCTAAAGGAACTTCAACAAATCCAGAGTAAAGGGCATGTCAAATAAAACATGATGAGATAAGAGAGTTACAAGATAGCCATGGGAGACTACTGAGGAGGTATTGCTTAAGATTACGATGTGATCTGGGTGGTCCTTAGGTGTATATAGTAGGAGAACTTTCCAGACAGAAACAACAGTGATTTCTGAGGTAGGATGAGGAAGACAGCAGTAGTGCCAGATAAATGTGACAGGCTGAGCCTTAGAAAACTTCAAAATGTTTCAGATTTGCCCACCACATTATTTCCTTCAGGACACTTCTGCTGTTTTGTAGAAAATCAGCCCCAGACTACACACAATTGAGGAGCTTTCTCAACTAAGTTTGTATTTTCTGTTGTATGCTGAATAGTATTTTATTATTATTATTATTATTATTATTATTATTATTATTATTATTATTATTACTGTGTGTGTGTTTTTAAGACAGGGCCTCACAATGCAGCTGTGGCTGTCCTGGAACTTGCTATATAGATCAGGTTGGCCTCAAACTCATAGAGATCCACGTCCCTGCCTCCTGAGTGCTGGGATTAAAGGCATGCGGCTTTATTATTTTTAAAAGAAATTTTTAAAGGGTTTAACTTATGAGCCGGGCTCTATAGCGCACTTGGGGAGGCAGAGGCAGGCAGATCTCTGTTAGTTCGAAGCCAGCCTGGTCTACAAAGTGAGTCCAGGACAGTCAAAGCTACATAGAGAAACCCTTTCTCCAAAAACCAAAGACAAAACAAAACAAAAAAAAGATTTAATTTATGGTTGCCAGATGGGGTGGTACACTCCTGTAATCCCAGCAGGGAGGCAGAGGCAGGTGGATTTGTGAGTTTGAGGCCAGACTCTGCAAAGTGAGTTTCAGCATAGCCAGGGCTATGTAGAGAAATTTTGTCTCAAACAAAACAAAACAAAACGATTTACTTCATGTGTGCGAATGTCTTGTCTGCGTGTTTGTATGTGCACTACCTGAGTGCCCAAGGAAATCAGAAGAGGTTGCTAGATCTCCTAGAACTGGAGTTAAGCTGAGCCATGTGGGTCCTGGGAACTGAACTCATCTCTGTAAGAGCAATAAGTGCTCTTATTTTTTTTGAGACTGAGTCTTAATGTGTAGTCCTAGTGTAGACTAGGACTGAGTTCAGAGATCTTCCTATCTCTGGAAGATTAAAGATTTTTCTACCACTCCTGGCTAGGCTGTCATAAATTTATTTAACTATTTTAACTGTCATAAATTTATTTTAACTATGTGCATTAGTGTGAAGGTGTCAGATCCCTTGGAATGGGCATTACAGACAGTTGTGAGTTGTCATGTGGGTGCTGGGAATTGAACCCACATGATGGTCTTTTGAAAGAGCAGACAGTGCTCTTAACCACTGAGCCATCTTTCCAGTCCTACACGTCATTTTTTAACTCCTGACTTGAACTGAGTTTACATACAAAGCTTGCAGGGCTGTGGTAGTGCATAACTTTAATCCCAACACCCAGGAGGTAGAAGCAGGCAGATCTCTTGAGTTTGAGGTCAGCCTGGTCTACAGAGCGAGTTTCAGGACAGCCAGGGGGACACAAAGAAACCCTGTCTTGGAAAAACCAGGGGGAAAAATTGAAGTCTTATACTATTCTTTTGATGGTCTATAGTAGCTGTAGTATGTTCCCTCATGTGTTGTGTGTGTGTGTGTGTGTGTAAAGTTTGGTTTTGGTGTGCTGTGGATTGAACCCAGAGTATCAAACATCCTAGGCAACTGCTCTGTTACCTACTACTTACAGTTGTTTTCCTTCATTTGAGAAAGGCTCTTACTATAGACCCCAGGGTGGCCTTAAACTTGTCATCCTTCTACGTCTGCCTCCTTGTTGGGATTACAGACATGTGCCATTACAACCTGCCCAGCACTGTGGCTGTTACTTCATGAGGGATAGCCTTGGAATGGACACCAGGCTGGCCCGAACTGAGCTTCTGGAATTTTGTGGTTATAGGAGTTGACCACCATGTCTGCCTTCTTTTTCCAAAATTTTCCAGATAGACACTTTGTATTCATTAAACAAGACCTCCTGATCCTCCTCCTCTAGATGCTGGCAGGTTGTACTGTACTTTGTTCCTAGAAGTTTGCAGAGTGTAGGTGCCTCACATAGGCTGAATCATACAAAATTGGTCCTTTTATGTCTTACACTTTTGTAGCATGTATCAGAATTCCATTCCTTTTTATAGCTGGGTAATATTCCACTGTATGAATGTGCCCAGTCTTGTTTGACCCTGTGTTGATAGTAGTTGGCTTGTTTCCACTTCTTTTTATTGTGAATGGTGCTGCTGTGAATATGACCATGTAGGTAACTAGCTCCTAGCGTTTCTTCTGGAAATGTACCCACAAAGTAATGTTCTTCTTTCCCTTTTCTACTGTTTGGTTGATAGAGCTATATTTCATTCTTTAATTGAGGTTCACAGTCCTGAAGTGGAAAAATTGAAATAACATCAATGTTTAGGTGTACAAATTAGATCGTTTTGTCTGCGGGTCCATTTTCTTATCTCCTGTAGCCTGTGAATAGCAACCACCTTCAAAGGGAAGCTGCCTTCTCCCTCATCACCAGTCCAGTAGTGTTTGTTTGAGATAGGCTGTCATTCTGTAATCCAGGTTGACCTTGAACTCAGTACGTAGAGCAGGCTATCTTTGAATTTGTGATGATCTTCTTGGGTGCTGAGATTATACAACATTTGGCATTCTTGAGGGATTTTGTCTGTATGTTTTGTTTTGAGACAGGGTCTGTATAGCCTAGGTTGCTAAGTAGCTGAGGCTGGTATTGCTCTTCCATGAAGTACCTATGTGTGTGTGCTCCCATGACCTACTACTGCCTTGAAATATTTGAACTTGATCATGCTATGTTCTGTGCTCCTCCTCCTTCTCCTCTCCTCCCTAGTTTCTTTAGGGCCATATCAGTGTCATGTCAGCTCCCACCTTTTTTTTTCCTCCCATCTAGTTTCCGGTAATTTGCTAAGTACATTTTTGTTGTTAAAAATGTCTCTATTGAGCTTGTCCTGTCTGTGTGTAAGGAGAGTCTTAGCCAGCATAACCATTGTTCAGTGTAGGACCCTACACTCCTCTTGTTCTAAATCTGGGACTGTTACGACTCATACCTCTTCTGTCCACCATCTAAAGCCTATGTCATAGTGCAGTGTGGTCCCAGGGTCACCGACCTGCCTCATGTAGATCTGAGTCATGGTCTCTCAGGGACCAGAGTTTGAGTCACAGCAAAGTTTTGTTTACTCTTCAAAGCTCACTTTTGTCATCTTTTGTGTCCGACAGATCTTAGTTTCTAATTTACAAGGGGATCACAGTAGAGACAAACAGGACAGTGCATGGGAAGTTGGGTACTAGATTCTTTTTTTTTTAAGACAGGGTTTCTTCATGTAGCCCTGGATGTCCTGGAACTGGCTCCATAGGCCAGGCTGGCCTCAAACTGACAGAGCTCTCCCCGCCTCTGCCTCCCGAGGGCGGGGATTAAAGGTGTCCACCACTGCCCAG